TTTTTTTTTTTTTTTTTTTGGTCGAGCAGATTCTTTAAAACAACTTCTCAAATACTTAACCTCTTTTTCTCTTTTTTTTTCTCTCCTTTATGATTAGTCTATTCTATATGGTTTGGTTGAGATTCCTTGCACTGTGGACAACTCCGTTGACGTGATTGAATTATACTGTGATTAGATCTTTCAAACGGGTGGTTCCTTTCTGGTACACGGCGTTTGGTTTTAAGGACCTATCGAGATAGCGTGTGCTTGTCTATGTTATCAAATTGATGAAGATAATTATGTGAACAGATTGTTACATATTCAGGCATAACGAAAGATAGGCAGGGGTGGAAGAATAGAGAGAGAGAGAGAGGGTGAAGAACGAAATAATTTTTGCTAAAAAACATTGGATTGGGAAGAGAAGCGGAGTGTGATGGTGGTATGGAGTTTGTGTTAGGTTGGCCTTTTCTGTTTACAGTTAACAGCTTGGAGTCCCTTTCTATGAGGTCAAAGCCAGTATCAAACAGCAGATAGTGACCTTAGACACTTGAACATTAAGCCTTTTTTTCTTTTTTCTTCCACATGAAGACTCTTCTCCCAACGATCATTCCCTCGAACAAAGTACGTCATAGAGCCTCCCCTGAGGCCTATGGAGCCCTCGAACAGCCTCCCCTTAATCGAGGCTTGACTCCTTCTCTAGAGCCCCCAAACAAACTACACCATTTGTTCGACACTTGAGTCATTTTTTACTACAGTTTCGAGGCTCACAACTTCTTTGCTCGACATTTGAAAATTCTATTGACATAACTAAGTTAAGGGCATGGCTCTGATATCATGTTAGAAACTACAAACCTCTACAATAGTATGATACTGTCCACTTTGAGTATAAGCTCTCGTGGCTTTGCTTTTGGTTTCCTCAAAAGGCCTTATACCAATGGAGATGTATTCCTTGCTTATAAACCTATGATCAATCCTTTAATTAGCCGATGTAGGACTCTTCTCCCAACAATCCTCAACATTTTCCATGTCTTATAACCGGGTGATCACTCTAGTAGTTAGCACTACACACAAATGTATTGAGTATTGCATTCAAGAACAAAAGTATTGATGGCTAATGGTCAACTTTATTTGTCAGGCCTAAACATTCATTGCTAGCTTATGGTATTTGATTAGGAAGTAATGTCCATTTTTACTGACATATCTTAATTCCAGGAGGATTGCACAATTGAAGGAGCAGGAGTGCCAAATAGCAGTCCAAGATGTCATGTACATGCTCATTTTCTATAGATTTTCTGAAATCAGAGTTAATTTGGTACCCAAGCTCTCTAGATGTGTTTACAATGGAAGACTAGAAATCTGGCCATGCAAGGACTGGGAACTGGAGTCCATTTACGAGTCGGAGGTCCTTGAGATGATTAAAGAACACATAACCGCAGTGATTGGTTTGAGAGCAGATTCGAGTGTCACAGACAACTGGGCTATGACCACCATCAAACAAGCACATCTGGGCCATGTTTACGTAGCCTCCATCCTATATGGCTACTTCTTGAAGTCTGCTTTATTAAGGCATCACCTGGAGCAACGACTCGCCATACCGAACGTACACCGTAACGGTAGCAGTCAAAAAACTTTCCTCCAGTCCCCAGAGATGTATCTTTATGGATTTAGAAATCTTCTCTCCGGTCGTCGTCGTAGCAACGTGCTACCGGTGGCGCATAACCAGGAATTTAACAGCAATCAGGAGATGGAGGCAGAGAAGTTAAAGCGTTTCTTGACAGGGTTTGATTCTGAGGCGTTGCAGAGATGTGCAAAGCTGAAATCTAAGGAGGCCGTGAATGTACTTGAGAACCATAGTTGTGCATTGCTGGGAAACGAGGAAGTCGGTTTTGTGGAGAGGGATGAGGTGATAGCGACTTCATTTTCAAGCTTGAAGAGATTGGTTTTGGAGGCGGTTGCTTTTGGTTCTTTCCTTTGGGATGCAGAGGAGTATGTGGACGCCATTTATAAGCTCAAGGAGAACTAATCCAGAAGGTATGTTCGTAGATACAATAACACTTTCTGTGTACATAAGATGAGTTGCAGACACATTTCACGAAAGTTCAACCATTGTATATTGAAATTAACCCAAGAAAAGCTCGGTTACTAAACGATAAAGAATCATGGTAAGAGAAGTAAGATTCAGATTACTTTGTTGATCAAATATCTAAAGACAAGAACACTTGTTTGAAATTTGAATTATTCTACGAGCAAAATCATCATGTCAAGCTTGAATGATTCTAAACATACTATTCAAACTAATGCTAAAAGATTTAGCACAAATGTTATTTTCCCTACCTTTTTCAAGCCTTCCCTATAAAGATAACATAAATGTTTTGTATATTCTCAAAATGAAACGATCTTACCTTAGTCATTTAAGAGGAATTGAGATTTCCCTATTAGGCTAGGTCATTTTGAGGCAAGCGGATCATTTCTGATGAAGAGAATGATTAGGAATTCTTGCAGGGTGGAACCAGATACGAG